CCCCCCCCCCAAACCTCCCAAAGATAGGTAGTGCCAAAGAGGGGTTACCGATGAGCAGGTACAGTATCAGCCTCTGAAATAATCAACCTTCTTTTCGTCTCTTGCTAAACATCGAAGAGCAGTTGGACCCAGTCCACTCGGACAACGCCATGGCCACTCAGATGCAGTCCCCCCTGAATCAAAGGGTGGTAGCCCATTCTCTGCCAGCCACCCAAGAAGCAGCTACCAGAGCCCTTTCCCACATGATGGGATCAGCCGACAACTGGGCTATGTTCAAGGGACACCATACCCTCAATGTTCGCAACCTTTTGCATTTGCAGAACCAGCTGGATGAGTTGGCTCGAAAGCACGAGCAAGACGACCCGAACTTTGACATGAATGAGTTGGACGAAGTCCTGTACAAATACAGTGAGTTATATTCCTTTTCACAAGGCTACCTATTCTTGTGTTACCTAGCTGATCTAGACAAGACCGGGCTCTTCTTGCGTATGCAAAGGTTAGTGAGCTTCTTGAGCCTGAAGAAAAAAATGTTGCAAGTATTCTGCGGTATAGCAGAGCCAGACTCAGCAATCACCCCGCGGTCTGGGCCTTTCTTTCCGAAGCATACCAAGACCTCATGCATGGAGGGTTCAGTGGAATGGTCGCCTTGTACGTGAACCCCAATGGTGGGGCCTTGTTCTCATTTGCCAACAGGATTGTGGGCAAATTCGCCAGGGTAAGTAATGCTATTCTTTATCAACTACCCCTGGCACTTGGAATATTGTGGGGTCTAAAAATCATCGATACAGTTGCTGTCTCCAAGGACAGATGGAGTTCATATTTGGTCTGAAGCCACAACAAACAGGATAACAAGAGCAGTGTTAGGAATGCTTTCTGCCGGTCTCTTGCTTGTCCCCATAGTGATCATGTCCTTTGTTACGGATGGCTACAAACCACTGATTATTATTATCGTGTGGACGATTGCGTTTTCAGCCATAACATCCTTGCTCACTGATGCAAAATACAGCGAGGTTCTAGTAGCTGCGGCAACGTAAGTCTTGCAGACATTCTTAAACACATACTTATGCCGACACTGACCAATCTCCTGTGGCAGATATGCCGCTGTCATGGTTGTATTTATCAGTGGGGACGGGGTACAAAAGCAGGGATCAGCTTGAAATAAAATCTTTGCCTTGCAAGCTCACCTTGGATTCACCATCCTTCACTTCGAACACCTCTACAATGGACATGTTAGGTGTGGGCGTTACTACTGAGCTGAATGCCTTGCCCCTATCTCTTCAACCCCTTTCGATAGTCAACGGCTGCCAATACCATCATTGTGAGCTTGGGCAGGAACACATCCGTTGATCACCATAGAGCCCCGTAGAGTACAACCAAAGCGAATGGCGCAGGCCGGTCAGTTCTTGAAGCCCTCGGCAGTGCCAGTGATAAACTCTGCTCGCTGTTCCCATCTCATAAATCGGGTTTTTTTTCCCTCAGCGACTCCCAAGAAAGAATCTGGCCACAAAAGCCAGAAAACTCGAGCCCTAAGTGATTTTTCGTAAGTGATGTTGCCTTTTTCTGGAGCCAGGACACGGCGGTGTCTTTGATATCCCTTCTTCAAAAATAGTCTGTGAAATAGCAAGCTAGCCGTGATTAGCACATCAAACAAGAGACATGTGTATGTGAGTTGAGCAGAAATGTGAATGAAGTGTTTGCTCGCCGACTTTGTGCGCCTGCCCGCCCAGAGTTAAGAACCTGCTCGCCATGTTGAACGTTAAGTCGCCCAGTAATTGGAACGCCTGCTCGCCTATTTTTGAGCGCTTTCTCGCACTTATAAGAGGGCCTGCTTGCCTATTTTCAACGCCTGTTCGCACATTAGAGAGGGCTTGCTCGCGCTATTCGAAGAGGGCCTGCTCGTACTAGAGACAGTATGCTCTTGGTTGTTCTGGCGTGAACAGACGAGTATAAGATTTATGTTTTCCATCCCAGCATAACACGTTAAATTGTTATTTTGTTTCACATGCTAACAGACATAGTCTAGATTTCACCACTTTACGATCACTCGTTTTTTCTCTTCTTTTTTTATTTTTTACAAGAAAGAAAGAAAATGCCTGTGGCCACGGAGAATGGGGAGAAGAACAGCGGCGGTGGTGGCGGCAAAAAGGAGACGCCAATGTTCAAGTGCATCTGTTATAGATGCAGCTGCGAAGAGGAGTCCGAGGATGAGGGCAACACGTGCATAAAGTGCCTGATTCTCTGCTACTGGGGCGGCCACCCTCGCAGAAAGTTGAAGAGGTCGACATCTTGTCCCGCTGCTGCTGCCGGTAAGCGCTGAGCTTTGGCATCAACAGAGATGGATGGCGGTAAACAGCCGGAGAAGAAGAGCAGGAAGAGCAGATGTTGGTTGTTGGTTGTTGTGGCGTTGCTGGAGGAGAACAAGGGTTAGGGTCATGGGAAAGTTTACCAGAGGCCGTGCACTGACACGTGACCCTGCGCTTTGCCTGTCATCCACTATCTCCGAAAAGGCTTAGCGTAATCTGGCGGCTGGTTGTCGCGCGCATCGAGAGGTCGAACATTTTGGGAGCGCAGTCAATTGTGCCACTTGCTTCAACTCCATCCTCCAATTCCAAACATCGACACTCGGCGAATTTTCTGCGGCGGATTGCGCAAACACGCGATTTCCGAGACTCGAATCAATCAAATATCTCGATAACAAACCAAAAAGAAGCAAATCGCAAAAATGGGCAAGAAGAAGCGCGGACACCCGGACATTGAAGAGCTCCTGGCCCGGCCGTGGTGCTACTACTGTTCGTAGACCCTCTCGCGACAGATTGTGATTGATTGGATTATTGTCTTTGGCTAACACTTCCCAGGCGAGAGAGACTTTGAGGATCTGAAGCTCCTGATCTCCCATCAGAAAGCGAAGCACTTCAAATGTGAACGATGTGGCAAACGATTGAACACCGCCGGTGGTATGTACTGCCCTCCGCCTTGAGCGCATCCAGTCCTTGCCTCTTATCAGCCCGCACAATTGCTAATGTCATATTCATAGGTCTCTCTGTTCACATGAACCAAGTCCACAAGGAAAATCTGACCAGCGTCGAGAATGCTCTGGCTAACCGGCAAGGACTCGACATCGAGATCTTCGGCATGGAGGGCGTCCCTGAGGACATCATCCAGCAACATAACCAGCGCATCATCCAGAACTTCTACACAGCCCAGGCGGAGCGACAGGCTGCTACTGGAAATCCACCAAGGGGGCTGTCCGGTGGACAAGGTCCGACCAAGAAGATCAAGATCGAGACTCCCGAGGAGATCAAGAAGCGGTTGGCAGAGCATCGCGCAAAGGTTGCCGCTCAAAAGGAAGCGATCGCAAATGGAACCCCCCTTCCAGTTGTTGCCCCAGCCAATGGCCCAAGTCCATCTCAGGTTGTACGTGCCATTCCAATTCATTCTGTGCACAGAGCAGTGCTAACCTACCACTCCCTCAACAGGCTTCTCCTTTCCCTCCACCGCAGCCAGGTTTCCCATATCCTGCAGGAGCCCCAGCATACCCTCCTGTTGCTTACCCCCCCGGGGCAGCCCCTGGCGCTTTTGGCAGCCTCCCGGCGAGACCTCCAAGTGGTGGCCCGATCCCTTCGGCACTCCCGCAGAGACCTTCTTACCCGTACCCCGGTGGTGTGGCCCCTCCTGGCTTCCCAGGTGCTTCACCAGTCGACGAATCTGCGGCCAATGCCGGTAGAGCACCCGGTGGCGATGATATCGATCAGCTGATAAGGATGGCTGAGGCGGGCATCAAACCGGCCAAGAACGGAGACGAGCAGCCAGCCCCGACAGAGAAGAAGAAGAAGGGGATGCGGATGGTGTACGATGACACCGAGGTCAGTCCCGAGGAGAAGATGGCCTTGCTGCCAAGATATCGGTGGGTTGAGGAGGCGGCGGCGTGAACTGTTGGTGTTGAAGAGCGTTTGGATCAAGAGATTCGTTGATGGCTTTCATTTGGCAGCTCCGATTCGGCCATTGCGGAAATTCTCGAGACCGGCATACACCTTGAACCTCCAGCTGCACTTGCAGCTGTATGTTTTTTGTTGGGTCTAGAGACGTTTGGGAATGGGCAGGCTTGTGGGAACTGTTAGGTACGTTCCCTTCTATGTATCAATCAATTTAAGAACAGAAAATAGCATAGCGTGTTATGATGGTTTACATATGCCGACTCAAAGTACTCAGTTCCCAACGTGATCATCCGCGCTACGCGAGCCTGGTGTTTGAGGGTGAGTCTGCCATTTCCCAGGCTCGTTGCTAATGGTGCTCAGGAGAGGAAGTTTATGAATGCATCCACCGACCGAGGTGCATATTCACCGGTTACTCAGGTAATGTGCCCATCAACTTTGAGCCATCAAGGGTCTCTTACTCGGGATCCGGACCGTGGCCCAGTTCTGATGTCAACTTGGTTGCCATTGAGCATAATGCAAGGAGGACGCATCCATACCACGTACCGGTGTACAACCACATACACAAACCCGACAAGGCCGTTGGCAAAGCCGTTCGATACCTCCACCGTCGCATACAACACACCAGCACACCCGATGTGTCCGATTCAGGAAGTGATGCCTCAACAACAAGCACCTCCACGGTCCACCTTGTCGATCTGGACCATTCATAGGAGCAGCTCGTCGGCATCGGATGCATCACATTCACCACCGGCCCACGAGTGAGCCTGGTAACTGGTGTCGTCTTGCCATTTCCGAAAGGTTAAAATGGTTGTCGATGTGAGCCAAGACATGGAATTGGCGGCTAAACGCCCAACGTCACTCTGCGAGTCCCGCCTCCCCAACCCCACAGCACCACCTCACGTCTCCGCCTCCGCCTTTTCCACTCAGCCGTCCGCCGTCCGCCTTCTCCAATTAGTTTTCACATGGGTAACTCTTCATTGCTTTAATATCCTCCCGTTTGTCGTTATTTCACAACAATTAGCAGTATGGGATTAGGCTCCCGAATTAGAAAATGAGGACCTAGAGTCCATGTCGGATAAAGCATCGAAGTCCCTACCACTTGTTCAGCTCAATTTTTAGCTTTGTTGACCCGTCTCCAATTTTCTAAGAAGATCTACTCCCCGCCATCCCCTCATGAGCACACCTCAACATGCATAAGGTACTACGACCATATACCTTGCTTCGCTCCTGGCTAGCACTCCCCCACCTTTTTGTCTTACGGGCTGCGGGAATAACCTTCTAGAAGAGCGGTGCCGAGGAAAGCCGTTGGCCCTAGGAACGGCGAACGCACTTCCGCCTACCATTGCCAAGTCATTTGATCGCGGTACTCGAGTGGCTGGCGAGGACCTTGGTGATGTCGTCGATGTCTCCCAGGGCTTAGCTTGCGAGTTGCAAGTGATCTCCGCTCATGATTCCTTTTACCCGCCATCCCGTCGTTCACCCGGGTCTTGGGGGTCTCTACCATATTCTTGGCTTTCCAGCGCTGGTATTTGTCCAATATCGAGTGATGGCTGGAGGCGAATTACACCACGGGTAGTTTCCAGTAGTGATCAGTTGCACTCTTCTGCACCGGTATACCATTTTACCTTCGGAGGGGTAACGGATACGACCTCGCCATGAGGAGGTGGCTCGTGGTTAATCTATTTACCCAGGAAAACCGGTCAACATACCCCTTCTGGGCCATGCGAGGCCATGTGGTTTGCCATATTGCCTCCCAGTGGAGCGTTCGGTGCCTTGCATATCCAGGAAGCTGGGTGTATTATATCATGTACGGTGTGCCTTCCCCGGGAATGCCTCGCCTCTCCTGCTTGTTCACCCATCTCGATCTTGTTGCCCCTTTTTCTGGGTGTAGCTGAGCAATCCCGGTCTGAACATCAAGCTCGTCATCCAAGATGTTCGCTACGGGTGTGAAGGGAGCCCTTTGGCTCGCCTTCAGCTCCGTGGTGGCAGGTCTGGGCCAGGAACGCATCATTTCTCCTAATGCCACTGGTTCTGTTCTCCAGATTGCCGGCGGATCTGTGTCTACGGGCCAGATTCTTGTGGCTCCGGATGAGTACTGGGGTGTTGTCCGTGCTGCCCACGATCTTGCTCGGGATTTCGGCAGGGTCACGGGGATCAACTACACTGTCAGCAATGGCGAGGCTGGCGCGGCCCCGATTACGTACACGTATAACCCCATCAACAACAAGAACAACACCTTTGTGAGTCGTCAGAACAGCTCGGGAAATGAAGGCCTAATTTACTGACAACGTCACAGTTCTCTACCCTGGGCACAGCCAACTTCACCGGCCCAGACTTTTTTGAACCATCCCCGGCCGACACTGTTATTATTGCCGGCACTATCGGTCACTCGGCCATCATCGACGCCCTCATTGCCTCGGGGGCCGTCGACGTCTCCGAGACGGAGGGCAAGTGGGAAGCATTCACCAGCCAGGTGGTCGAGAACCCCATCCCAGGCACCGCCAAAGCCCTGGTCATCGCCGGCGCCGACCCCCGCGGCACCATCTACGGCATCTACGACGTCAGCGAGCAAATCGGCGTCAGCCCGTGGTACTTTTGGGCCGACACCCCGCCCAAGAAGAGCAAGAACCTTTATGTCATCAAGAACAAGAAGGTGCAGGGTTCCCCCACAGTCAAGTACCGCGGCTTTTTCCTCAACGATGAGCAGCCCGCTCTCACCAACTGGGTTGCTTCCCACTGGGAGGATACCCCTTACGGTCCTGGTTACGGCCCGGCGTTTTACAGCCTCATCTTTGAGGTCTTGCTCCGCAACAGGGCGAATTACCTGTGGCCTGCGCTTTGGGCGACGATGTTTATGGTTGATGACCCGGGGAACCAACCTCTGGCGGATGCGTTTGAGATTGTGCTTGGGACGAGCCATACCGAGCCGTTGATGAGGGCGCAGAATGAGTTTGGGAAATTTTACCCGTTGCCGTGGGCGTATAATGAGAATAATGAGACGATTGATGAGTATTTCCGGTATGGAGTTCAACGGGCGAAGCCTTATGCGAGGAACAGCTTGTGGACTGTGGGGATGAGGGGGACGGGGGATACGCACATTGAGGGGTTGGGGGTTGAGCACATTGTCGAGATGTTGACCGTTTTGGTGGACAACCAGCGGAAGATTATGGCTGAGGGGCTCGAGGTGGAGGATGTTACTACTGTTCCTCAGGCGTGGTGTTTGTACAAGGAGGTCATGACGTATCTGTTTGCGGGGTTGGAGGTTCCGGAGGATATCACGCTTTTGTGGGCGGATGATAACTGGGGGAATGTGAGGCGGTTGCCGCTGTTGAATGAGACGGAGCGGTCGGGGGGTGCGGGGGTTTACTATCACTTTGATTATGTGGGGGATACGAGGAGTTACAAGTGGATTAACACGAACCAGCTGAGCAAGACGACGGAGCAGATGCATTTGTCGGCGGCGAGGGGGGCGGATAGGATTTGGATTGTGAATGTGGGGGACATGAAGGCTTTGGAGGTGCCGATCAGTCACTACTTTGATCTGGCGTATGATTACAAGAGGTGGCATAAGGATAGCACGGAGGAGTGGGCGAGGTTGTTTGCTACGAGGGAGTATGGGCCGAAGCATGCGGTGCATATTGGGGATATCTTGGAGAGGTATGGGATGTTGGCGGGGAGGAGGAAGTTTGAGTTGATCGAGCCGCATGTGTATTCGCAGATCAACTACGGGGAGGCGGATGCGGTGTTGTATCAGTGGGCGGAGCTGCACAAGGAGGCTCAGGCGATTTATGATGATCTGCCGGTTGAGCAGCAGCCGACGTTTTTCCAGACGATTCTTCACCCGATCATGGCGGGGGAGATCGTCAACAAGATTCAGATTGGGGGCGCGAGGAATATGTTTTACTCGGGCCAGAAGAGGAACGCGGCGAACAAGGTCATTTCGGAGGTGTTGTCTTGGTCTTCGGAAGATGCCAACCTGACGAGGAGATGGGACGCGCTGTTGGATGGAAAGTGGAAGCATTTCATGGACCAGACGCATCTCGGCTTTGATGGCTACTGGCAGCAGCCCATGAGGAACACCCTCCCTGCTATGGTCCACGTCCAAACCGACTTTGCTTCCCTCGCTGGCCACGTCGGTATCGGTGTCGAGGGCTCCAACGCCACCGTCCAGGGAGACGACAAGTACCACCCCAACTCGGCCAACCAGCTCTCCGTCCCAGTCATGGAACCTTATGGCCCCATCACCAGGTACTTTGACGTCTTCTCCCGCGGCACCCAAGACTGCGCCTGGACCGCCTCCCCCTGGCAACCGTGGGTCAAGCTCTCCCAGTACAACGGCACCGTCGGCCCCGACACGGCCGACACCAGGGTGTACATTACCATCGACTGGGCCCACCCCCAGATCAACTCCTCCACCGTCCCCATCAACGTCACCACCCCCTGCCGCGGCATGGACCGATACGGCTTCGGTCTCCCCCGCGTCAACGTCCCCGTCAAACTCCGCTCTCTCCCCTCTAACTTTACAGAGGGTTTCGTCGAGTCGGACGGCCACGTCTCGATCTCGGGCTCCCACTTCAAGGCCATCATCCCCCCCAAGGAAGAGTCGGAATGGAACCGCAATAACGTCACGTACGAGGTCTTCCCTCACTTTGGCCGAACTGGTTCAGGTGTGGGTATGGTGCCCCTCAACACGGAGAAACTTACTGTCGAGACCGCCCCGGCGTTGGAGTATGATGTTTACTTTTTCAGCAACCACTCGGCTGCTAATGTCACGCTTTACATCTCCCCGGCGCTGAACTATCTAGGTGATTACAACCCGCTTGAGTATGCCGTGGCGTTGTACCCTAAAGGGGGAGACGAAAAGGTGGTGAATGTGAGGCCTGTTGGGCCGACGGTGGGGACGGGGATGCCGGCTGGGTGGCAGAATGCGGTGGCGGATCAGGTTTGGGGTGCTAGGGGACGGTACACTACTAGTATTTTTGAGGTGCCGAGGGAGGGGGCGTATACGCTGAGGATCTGGGCGCTGATGCCGGGGGTGGTGGTGCAGAAGGTTGTGATTGATGTGGGAGGGGTGAGGGAGAGTTATTTTGGGCCGCCGGAGAGCTTTTCGGTGGGGAGGGATGAGGTTGGGGGGTATAATGGGACGACGATTTTGAATGAGGTTGATACTATTGGGGGGTGGAAGGGGGACTCGAAGGGGGGCCATGGGCAGTAGGGGGGTGTTGGCTGGTGGATTAATGGTTAAAGATGACATGAGTATATGAAGGGGAGCGGAGATGGTATGATTATTTGTATACGTAGTTGTAAATGAGACCTACTTGAAGTCATCTTGAAAAGGCAGCTGTGAATTTGGTCTAAGTGAAGCCTCAGGCAGTCAAAACAAGCAATTGGCCCCAAGTGTCATCAGGTGCCCAGCGGTGCCAAGGCGTTTTGTGCCTGAAGCCGGCGGGGTCAAAGTGGGGCTGGTGCCAGCACAGACTGCACTAGCCACGTCGCCGTGGAAACCAAATAGTGGAGTGTCCAAAACAGCCAGATGCGCCAATCAACAGCCGCCTCAGACACCTAAAGGAAGAAACGAAGCCAGGACCGGGACGTCATTTCTTTCCTTTCCTTCGCTGGAGTCGCCTGTCTTTCCTTCTGGGAGTCTTGCGTTCGACAGAGGCAACGGTGCCTTTTCTTTCCTTTCCGCTCTTTTCTTGTTGGTTTACCTTTATCTCGTCGCATCACATACACCCACCCACCACCACCACCACCACCACCACCACCACCACCACACACCGCCAGAACGAGAAACTACCGAAGGGCCTTTGTTGACGGCTTTGTTGTCCCACATTCTGCCAGGTCGCCCGCGCTGCGAGGGCGGCTGGCACCCAGAGGGCCCAAGATGGACTCCAATGCCTCGTCTATTATGGTCGCAGGTAGGGCACACACCGGAGGAAGAGTTGGTGGGCTGGGTGTTTGTTTACCTACTGACGGGAACTAGTGCGAGTGCGACCTTTCACCATTCGAGAAGCTGCGCAACTGTGAGCATATCTGGCCCCTCCCTCGAGCAGTCCGAGTCTGGAAACTGACAAAACCCCCCCTACAGAGTCAGGAACGACGATAGCACAGTATTTCTTGGCGATGGCTCCCTCGCCGCGGCTCCCACTCCCAAACTGCACCAACGTGGGCTCAGATCAGTGATCAAGGTCGTCGACGACAGATGCCTGTACGTGCCAACAAACAAGATGATAGTCTACACTCGAGCTTACCACTCTGCAGAGTTTTCGATCCGCCCGAGGACAACCCTGTCCAAAAGTTCTCCCGATCAGTCGTTCCCCGCGGAAAGAAGGTCAAGGACCAAGTCTTTGCTTTCGACAGAGTATTCGACGAAAATGCGACGCAGGCCGACTTGTACGAAGGAACAACCAGGGGGTTGCTGGACAGTGTTCTGGACGGATACAATGCCACGGTATTTGCCTACGGCGCCACGGGCTGTGGCAAAACACACACCATCACGGGCACGCCCCAGTCGCCGGGTATTATCTTCTTGACAATGCAGGAGTTGTTCGAAAAGATTCAGGACCGCAGCGATGAGAAGCACACCGAGATCACCCTTTCTTACCTCGAAATCTACAACGAAACGATCCGCGATCTGTTGGTGCCGGGCGGGAGCAAGCAAGGGCTGATGTTGCGCGAGGATTCGAACCAGGCTGTTTCGGTGCCCGGTCTCACCAGCCACCGCCCGAACAACGTGCAGGAGGTTATGGATATGATAGTGCAGGGTAACGAGTATCGCACAGTATCGCCCACAGCGGCCAACGCCGTCTCGTCCCGATCCCACGCCGTGCTGCAAATCAACATCGCCCAGAAGGACCGCAATGCCGATATCAACGAACCACATACCATGGCTACTCTCAGCATCATCGATCTTGCCGGAAGTGAGCGCGCCAGTGCTACCAAGAACAGAGGAGAAAGACTGATCGAGGGCGCCAACATCAACAAGTCACTCCTTGCGCTCGGCAGCTGCATCAATGCGCTGTGCGACCCACGAAAGAAGAATCACGTTCCCTACCGCAACAGCAAGCTCACACGTCTCTTGAAGTTCTCTCTTGGTGGAAACTGCAAGACGGTCATGATTGTGTGTGTCAGCCCGTCGAGTGAGCACTTTGACGAGACCCAAAACACACTCCGATATGCCAACCGCGCAAAGAACATCCAGACCAAGGTCACCCGCAATGTCTTCAATGTCAACCGCCACGTCAAGGACTTTTTGGTCAAGATTGACGAGCAGATGGCCATGATTAATGAGTTGAAGGCGCAGCAAAAGGATGCCGAGAAGATCTTCTTCACCAAGTTTCAAAAGCAGATGGACAAGCGGGATGGGATTGTCAAGGAAGGAATTGCCAGGCTGCGTGCAGCATATGAAAATGCGGCGCAGGAGAGGCAGGAGAAGGTCAACATGATGAAGAAGCTCAAGATCTTTGAAAGAAGGTGCGGGCTCCTGTCAGCGTGGATTGCTGCTTTCGATGCTGTGTGCGATTCCAGGGGTGACGAGGATGCGATGCCGTCCAACTTGTCGGCTATGCGCAAGACGGCGCACGGGGTTCTGGTCGAGCTGGAAAGCAGCAGACATCATATCCGGCAAAAGATGGAAAGGTCAAACTGGGAGAGGGCGTTGGATTCGGCACTGCACCACAGTCTAGGGCAGCTACCAAAGGGCGACGGGATTGCTGACACGTCGGAGAGAGACACGTTGACACGGGAAGCCGAGTCACTAAAGACTGCATTTGTGCGGGACGCTTACTGGGAAGTATTGGAGCAGGACAAGGCCGGTGATGCGGCTGTGCTCCAGGTCCTGATGACGGCTCAGTTTGAGATTCTGTCGTCGCTGTCTGAAACGCTCAACATGAGTGAGGAAGAAGCCATTACTCACGCCAAGGGGATTATCAGCCGTCTCCTGGAAACCGGATACTCGGCAGCCTCCCACGTCGTCAAGCCGGACGGATCCATGATGCCCGTCGAGCTGTTCCCTCCCACCAAGCGCGGGACCCCCAAGCGTAAGAAGTCGCTCAGCGTCCACAACCTCAAACCCATCCCGGCGCCCCTAGGTCTGGCCGCACTGTCGACAGCGCAACAGCAGGTACTTGTCTCTCCGATGAGAGCTTCATCCCCGAGACGCCGTAAGGTCGGCACCGCCAGGAAGGGTGTGTCTTTCACGCCTGTCAAAAAGAAGAATTCTGTCCGCTGGCGCGATGACGAGACGGAGGATGGAACCCTGGCTGACTTCGAGAAGACGCCCCAGAAGTTTTCTTCCCCGGCCGAGGCCTCCCTTATCGATACCACCGAAAAGTCCCTTCCGGCTCCTCCCCCGGCTCCCTCATACCTCAACCACCCGGATTCGCCGCCGCCCAAGGAAGCCCCAGCCCCGGTTCCCGCACCCACAGCCTGCGAATCTCCGAATGATGACGACTCAATCATGTCTCTGCCCGACGTATCGACCCTTCGTGTCAGCAAGCCCTCGACGAACCGATTCCAGGCTGGGTTCCTTTCCAAGTCCCGCACGTCACAGATTGGCACCAGCTCACCACCACCGCCTACCTTTACGTTGAACTTGACCGGATCGAGCGATGTCGAGGATAAACCGTCGCCGCTGCGCAGCATTCCCGTAAGTAGAGCAGGCAACAGCTTGTCGCCTCCTCAATACCGAAGTGTGAGCCCCAAACTTTCCAATAATTCCATTCTTTCTACCCTGAAGGAGAATGAGTCTCCACAGCCGCCACAGCCCCAGCGCCTGTCGCCATCGGGCATTTCCAGGTTACCGAGAGCATCGCTCGGCTCGGGTTCCGACTCGGAGTCGTCCACCCTCGACCCGCTGAAGATCAGAAGTGCTCTGCACTCGCACAAGCGCAAGGAGCGCCTGTCTCTGATGTCTGGCACCGCCTCTTCGAACGCCAAGCGCGTGTCGACAGTGGGGTCAGTATCGGGACACCGGGCTTCGCTGTCGTGCTCGGGCCCAGCCACATCGGCCGCCGCATCCAATGGCATCTCGCGCCATCGCCGCGGGAGTGCGGAGAGGAGAAGGTCGCCGCCTATCAGCTGCTCTCCCCCGGGTAAGGGAGGGGAATTGTCGTTTTTGAGCCTGAACAGCGCTGTTGCTTCGGTGGGGACGAACGGTAGGCTTACGCAGGGTCAGGCGAGGAGGATGAATATGGGGGGTAGTGGCAGTTTGAGGAACAAGGATGGGCCGGGGCATAGTCCGGGAAGTTCGAGGGCTAGGCAGCCGGGGCCGCCGTTTCCGGGGATTGGTGGACTGCCGGGGATTGGGGATGGGAAAGCTAGAAGGGTTACCATTCAGGCTTTTTCGGGGCAGGCTCAGGATGGGGGGACGAGGACGGGAGGGGGGAGTTTGAGGAGCAGGCCTAGTATGGTTTGGCGGTAGGGGGTTGCATATCACCGAGGGGGGATTCTGTTTGGTGATTTGGAGTTTAGGAGTTTTGCTTACTGATGAACCGGACCGGACTGGGTACAAAGTTTGAGGGTGTTGATTAGTTTGAGGGGCATGAGACCGGTCGGGGTGGGTGTGTTTCTGTGTTATATCAACATGCACACTATTGCATTATTGCTTTGCGAAGGGGGATGGTTGGGGGTTGAGTAATTATTGTTTATTTTGGGTTGAGGGGTGGCGTTTGTTTTATGAGAGAGCAAGAGTTGATGATGAATTTGTGTATAGTTTATGGGGTTGGGGAGGTGTAAAGTAGATGATATATGAAGTTTGAGGTTTGATGATGATGCTTGTGTGGTGTTGTGTGTGTGTTGACTTGGGGTTGATGTTGAGCGCATTTGATTGGTGCATACATTTAACATATTTGGGAGGTGACACCGCACTGCATCGGTGATACTTTTTACATCATGAGATTGGTTTTCCAGATGCTTGGTCTGCGGTTGTTGTTGACACTGCCGAGAACCAAGAGAAGCAACTCGGACTGACTCATACCGAGTACTCCACAAATGCATGCGGATGGAGCCCTCCGCCGCCATCCACCCACCCACAAAAGTTGAAGTTTGGAAGAATGAAAACACAACACAACAAGGGCCGCTGGTCTAGTGGTATGATTCTCGCTTAGGGTTCACCCTACAGCATTGCTTGCGAGAGGTCCCGGGTTCAATCCCCGGGTGGCCCCGACCATCCTCCCTTAGGGAGGAACTCCTTTTTGGAGGAGTTTTTCCTATTTTTGAGAGATGGTGATGTCCTGTTGCATTTTTTTTGGTTTTTATGGAGGAAGGCTTGGATGGTGCGAATTGAAAGGTCAGATAGTGCTGCTCTCGATTTTTCTTTTCAGCCTCAAGTTGTCGGGAGCTAAGCATTATCGATTGATATAAAGACTGGGGAATATTCGGACTAGGTGCAACGGCGTCAATCAAGACCTCATTCATACAACGAGGTTTGTGACTAGCCGCCTTAAGCTATTGGTTGGTTCATCAATCATAATGAGGCAACATGTTCTTTCGAAAACGCACGTCAAAGGCGAGGACCTGAATGAATGATTCTTAAAAAGAACATCAATACGCATACGGCAAAGCACCCTGAAACCGCCCTCCCCCGCCCCCCCCCCCGCCAGTGTAACATGTCAGCTCACTTACACTAGTAGAGGCGTCAAAAGGTCCAAGGTGAACCGTGCCACAAGAATTGGTTCAGCTTGCAAGTTTTTCCACGCTTTAGTTTGAGATATCTCAGCTCCATAATTTCGAGTATTTCAACTTGTAATTGGAGATGCAGCTGGAATGTTGTTGGCGTTGGTTGGCTTTTGATAGACCCCACTGTGCCACAACGGCCCCTTTTTGGCAACTTACACTTTGAATGTGGAAAAAGGTCA